GGAGAGAGAAATTGAAGGAATTGCCTACTTCAAAGATTAAGGAAATGTGTGCAAAATGGCTTGAAGTGCAAACCTTTTTTGATGAAAATCACACTCACACAGCTATTGCAAGCCGTGCTGGTGACTGTTACAATGACAATGTTGTGAACCACTTTAGACAAATCATAAAGGAACGAGAGGTACAGGCCACTATGGACAGATATGTTGTGCGAAAGAAGTCCAGTGACTCTGAAGCTGGTCCTAGTGGCATTAAAAGAAGAAGGGAAGTAACCCCAGAAAAGGACTTGCCTCCTCAAGTCTTAATGGAAGGGGATTCCCCTTCTAAACACTAACACTCTCCCCTCCTCCCATCCCATCAATCATCACCAGATCTTCAATAAAAGTAAGTGTCATGTAATTGTGCATGCCTTTTTCAGTTTGTGTGTACTAAAATTAACATTTTTTTGTGGTAAAAAAAATTTTTTTTCATACTTTTGGGTGTCTTGCACGGATTAATTTTATTTCCATTATTTCTTATGGGGAAAATTCATTCACATAGCGAACATTTCGCATAACAGCCAGCCCTCTTGCACGGATTAAGGTCGCTATGCGGGGGTCCACTGTACTTATAAGTTAAATGATGTAGAACTTAGCCATACAGATTGCGAAAAGGACTTGGGGGTTATGGTGAGCAGCAACCTTAAACCAAGACAGCAATGCCTAAGCGTACGTAATAAGGCAAATAGATTACTGGGATTTATATCAAGAAGTGTAAGCAACAGAAGTCCAGAGGTCATACTGCAGCTTTATACATCATTAGTAAGGCCTCACCTAGATTATGCAGCTCAGTTCTGGTCTCCGTATTACAAAATGGAATAAATTCGTTAGAAAACATTCAGCGTAGGATGACTAAATTAATACATAGCATTAGAAATCTTCCTTATGAAGAAAGACTGAAGACTCTTAAGTTACATTCACTTGTTAGACGAAGAATGAGGGGAGACCTGATCGAAGTGTATAAGTGGAAGATAGGTATTAATAAAGGGGATATGAATAAGGTCTTGAGGATGTCTCTCCAAGAGAGAACCCGCAGTAATGGATTTAAATTAGATAAGTTTAGATTTAGAAAGGACATAGGAAAGTATTGGTTTGGAAATAGGGTAGTTGATGAGTGGAACAGTCTACCTAGTTGGGTTATTGAGGCTGGGACTTTGGGTAGTTTCAAATCTAGGTTGGATAAGTACATGAGTGGGAGGGGTTGGATTTGAGTGGGACTTTCACATCAGAGCTTATTTCTTGGGTGGCATTGAAAATTGGGTTGGGCAAATGTTTGTTAGTGGGATGAATTGTAAAGAACCTGCCTAGTATGGGCCAGCAGGCCTCTTGCAGTGTTCCTCCTTTCTTATGTTCTTATGTTTGAGTCATCCATCCTTTATTGATGATTCTTTGCCTACACAGTGGGCTTTTATCAAGTCACAAATAAATGACTTGATAAAGTCCATTGCTTTGGTGAAACATTATCAGTAAATGACTGCATATACATGGTGAGTGTGTTTCCTTTCTTGGGTCACCCTACCTTGGTGGGAAAAATAAAATCTAGATAGTACATCACAGTTTTTGTTGCCCATGTTTTTTGATGTGGTGAAAGGTTCATGCTGTATTAAAAACAGTAAAATGCCACACTTTGAATCCTATTTAGGAAGAGGAATCTACATTGCATATTCAAGGTATGCCATAATGTTATGCTGTGTAAATCAGATAGTCATTAAGGAAGAATTTTCTTTAGGCGGAATTTTTTATGAAACCCTTTTTTGAGTTTAAATCACTAGAGTTGTCAAAAGTGGTAACAAATGTAAGCAAGTTATAGTTCCTATATATGAATACATAAAAGCATTTTAAGAGTTTGATGGCAGATTTATTAATAATTTAGCTGAGTTAAAACATAACCTATTGAAGAAGACAAATGTGCTAGTATAGTATATTATAATTATTGAAGATTGAGACACTTATGCATCATGTGGGAATCTTTATCGAGGAAACATTTTGCCCCACAGTGGCATCATCAGTCCAGTACAAAGCAGAAAGGTGTAAGGGGAGGAGGAGTTTGAGGTAATCAGTCCCTCAGCCTGGAGTCGATGTGTTCAGTCCATCAAGATTGATGGACTGAACCTCAAACTCCTCCTCTCCTTACACCTTTCTGCTTTGTATTGGACTGATGATGCCACTGTGTGGCAAAACGTTTCCTCAGTAAAGATTCCCATATGTTGCATAAGTGTCTCAATCTACAACTTGTTGGATTTTTAAACCATTTATCACATTATAATTTTTTTTTTTTTTTTTTTTTTTTTTTATCACACCGGCCGATTCCCACCAAGGCAGGGTGGCCCGAAAAAGAAAAACTTTCACCATCATTCACTCCATCACTGTCTTGCCAGAAGGGTGCTTTACACTACAGTTTTTAAACTGCAACATTAACACCCCTCCTTCAGAGTGCAGGCACTGTACTTCCCATCTCCAGGACTCAAGTCCGGCCTGCCGGTTTCCCTGAATCCCTTCATAAATGTTACTTTGCTCACACTCCAACAGCACGTCAAGTATTAAAAACCATTTGTCTCCATTCACTCCTATCAAACACGCTCAAGCATGCCTGCTGGAAGTCCAAGCCCCTCGCACACAAAAACCTCCTTTACCCCCTCCCTCCAACCCTTCCTAGGCCGACCCCTACCCCGCCTTCCTTCCACTACAGACTGATACACTCTTGAAGTCATTCTGTTTCGCTCCATTCTCTCTACATGTCCGAACCACCTCAACAACCCTTCCTCAGCCCTCTGGACAACAGTTTTGGTAATCCCGCACCTCCTCCTAACTTCCAAACTACGAATTCTCTGCATTATATTCACACCACACATTGCCCTCAGACATGACATCTCCACTGCCTCCAGCCTTCTCCTCGCTGCAACATTCATCACCCACGCTTCACACCCATATAAGAGCGTTGGTAAAACTATACTCTCATACATTCCCCTCTTTGCCTCCAAGGACAAAGTTCTTTGTCTCCACAGACTCCTAAGTGCACCACTCACTCTTTTTCCCTCATCAATTCTATGATTCACCTCATCTTTCATAGACCCATCCGCTGACACGTCCACTCCCAAATATCTGAATACGTTCACCTCCTCCATACTCTCTCCCTCCAATCTGATATTCAATCTTTCATCACCTAATCTTTTTGTTATCCTCATAACCTTACTCTTTCCTGTATTCACCTTTAATTTTCTTCTTTTGCACACCCTACCAAATTCATCCACCAATCTCTGCAACTTCTCTTCAGAATCTCCCAAGAGCACAGTGTCATCAGCAAAGAGCAGCTGTGACAACTCCCACTTTGTGTGGATTCTTTATCTTTTAACTCCACGCCTCTTGCCAAGACCCTCGCATTTACTTCTCTTACAACCCCATCTATAAATATATTAAACAACCACGGTGACATCACACATCCTTGTCTAAGGCCTACTTTTACTGGGAAAAAATTTCCCTCTTTCCTACATACTCTAACTTGAGCCTCACTATCCTCGTAAAAAACTCTTCACTGCTTTCAGTAACCTACCTCCTACACCATACACTTGCAACATCTGCCACATTGCCCCCCTATCCACCCTGTCATACGCCTTTTCCAAATCCATAAATGCCACAAAGACCTCTTTAGCCTTATCTAAATACTGTTCACTTATATGTTTCACTGTAAACACCTGGTCCACACACCCCCTACCTTTCCTAAAGCCTCCTTGTTCATCTGCTATCCTATTCTCCGTCTTACTCTTAATTCTTTCAATTATAACTCTACCATACACTTTACCAGGTACACTCAACAGACTTATCCCCCTATAATTTTTGCACTCTCTTTTATCCCCTTTGCCTTTATACAAAGGAACTATGCATGCTCTCTGCCAATCCCTAGGTACCTTACCCTCTTCCATACATTTATTAAACAATTGCACAACCACTCCAAAACTATATCCCCACCTGCTTTTAACATTTCTATCTTTATCCCATCAATCCCGGCTGCCTTACCCCCTTTCATTTTACCTACTGCCTCACGAACTTCCCCACACTCACAACTGGCTCTTCCTCACTCCTACAAGATGTTATTCCTCCTTGCCCTATACACGAAATCACAGCTTCCCTATCTTCATCAACATTTAACAATTCCTCAAAATATTCCTTCCATCTTCCCAATACCTCTAACTCTCCATTTAATAACTCTCCTCTCCTATTTTTAACTGACAAATCCATTTGTTCTCTAGGCTTTCTTAACTTGTTAATCTCACTCCAAAACTTTTTCTTATTTTCAACAAAATTTGTTGATAACATCTCACCCACTCTCTCATTTGCTCTCTTTTTACATTGCTTCACCACTCTCTTAACCTCTCTCTTATAATTATAACCTTATAACCTTATAACCTCTCATTATAATTATTGATGCATATGTTTATGGTTATGATTTTGAAACAAGCATTTATGATGATTTTTGTTACATAATGTACAGTAGTACATGTTTGATGTGCATGATGAGATATACTCTCCGATCTGCAAAATGCATTATTCTGAGGTCATATTTATATTTAAAGACCCTGTTTAACCATTAGAATTGGTGCCTAAGCAAAATAAATTAGTTATCTAACATTTGTGCAGAAAGATACTAAATTCAGTAAGCTCTACTTAACTCTGAGGCTGACAGTGGTCATAAACTTTTTTCTGGTTAGCTGGACTTGAATCCTGGAAATGGGAAGTACAGTGCCTGCACTTTAAAGGAAGGATTTGGGATATTGGCAGTTTGGAGGGACTTCTGAACTGTCACATCTCAGTGCCTCTGCAAAGACAGTGACTATGTATGAGTGATGGTGAAAGTGTTGAATGATGATGAAAATATTTTTCTTCTTTTTGGGGTTTTTCTTTCTTTTTGGGTCACTCTGCCTTGGTGGGAAATGGCCAGTGTATTAAAAATAGAAAAAATGTGTTATAATTATTTATACTTTATTTCAGAATCATCTGTGACAACAGCTATAACTATGACAACCTCAACAACAACAGAGATTCCTCCTGACTGTATATTCTCATCATTTGGTTGTTGTCCAGACAATTATACTGCTGCACATGGACGAAATGATGAAGGATGTTGTCTCTCTTCAGCATTTGGGTGTTGCCCAGATGACATTACTGATGCACAGGGACCAAGTTTTCAAGGTAATAATTCTGTTCACTGCATTGATATATCCTCCTCTGCTTACCACACAGTAGCAATTAACAAATATCATTTGTCTCTTCCATTGTATCCAGCATTGCAGATTGATTAATTAGCAATAATTATAGCAGTACTCTTCAGCAAATCACTTAAATACCAAACTGTCCCAGACTTTCTGAAGAGAGCTAGGGTAGCCACAGTCCATAAAGCTCTTTCAGATTTTAAAAATAACATACCAATATCAAATTTGTCAATATTGTCAAAAATATTTAAAAAGGTAATCCACAAAAAATATATTACTATATAACTTAATGTAATACTTATGACAACTTCCAATATATATTAAAATCAAGCAAGGAAAGTTGCTTGAAAGAGAATAGTCATTTAGAAAACTGAGTACAGTAATTTAAACTATTACTGCCAATGTATTTTTTTACTACTGTTAAAAATAATAAATAAATAAACATGATTTTTAATTTTTTGTCTTGTTACAGATTTGTTGGAAAATCAGGCTGGGTTATTGGGCTCACCTCCTCATGAGTTACGAGCTTTGTGTTTAAGGGCACTACAATTAGCCCTGGAAACTCGTCAGTCTAAGATGGTAGCTTTAGCTGTGTCTGGATTTTTTAAGGTAAACCATATTAATTAACTGATTTGTGTATGGTAATTAATTACGTCTTGAATAAAGTATTCATTCCCAAATGAAGGCAGTACAGTACATGTGTATCCACCTATTTGTACTTGCTCATTTGTGGTTGCAAGGGTTGAGTCATAGCTCCTGTCCCCCACCTCTTTGCTAGTCACTACTAGGTCCACTCTTCCTGCTCATTGAGCCTTATTGTACCTCATCTTAAAGCTATGTATGGATCCTGCCTCCACTGCTTCACTCTCCAGATTGTTCCATTTCCTGACAACTCTAAGGCTTAAGAAATATTTCCTAACATCAATATGACTCATCTGAGTTGTTAACTTTCAGTTGTATCCCCTTATTCCTGTGTCCCATCTCTGAAACATTCTGTCCTTGTCCATCTTGTCAGTTCCTCTCAGTATTTTATGTCATCACATACCCTCTCCCCCGTCCCTCCTGTCCTCTACTGTCGTCAGGTTAAGTTCTCTTAACCTCTCTTTGTAGGGCATACCCCTTAGCTCTGGGACTAGTTTTATTGCAAACTTTTGCACTTTCTCCAATTTCTTGATGTGCTTGACCATGTGTTGATTCCATACTGGTGCTGCATACTCCAGTATGGGCCTGACATACATGGTGTACAGAGTTGTGGATGACTTCTTTCATAGATGTCAAAACACTTTCTGTAGGTTCGCCAGGCGCCCATATGTTGCAGTGGTTACAGTGGAACCTTGGTTTTCGTTTGCCCTGGTTTTCATTAAACTGGTTTTCGACGACTTTTCTCGTCAAAATATTGCCCCAGTTTTTGTTCGTCGCCTTGGTTTTTGCCCGCTGTACCGAATGTGTCCACGTGCCCACACCCCACACAAAGCATCTCATGCACACATTCTTAGTCAGTCTGGCTTTGTTTCTTGTCGATTGAACATTACCCTCTGCATTCATACGAAACATTTCGTAATCTTTTTTTTTTTTTGTGCTTGTTCATTGAATGGGACTGCTAAATAAGCCACCATGGGGCTTAAGAAAGTTCCGACTGCCAGCCCTTTGATAAAGAAGGTGAGTAACACAATGCAATTCAAGGAAGAACTTGTAGAAAAGTACGAAAGTGGTGTACGTGTGGTTGATCTTGCTAGGATATACAGGAAGCCCTCATCAATGATCAGTTCCATCCTGGCGAAGAAATAAGAAATCTGAAGTTATGAAAGGGGTAAGTGTGCCAATGAAACAGAGATTGCAAACAATCGACAATGTTGAGTTGTTGTTGTTGGTGTGGATCAGCAAAAAACAGTTAGCGGGAGATAGTGTTCTGGAGGCAATAATTTGCAAAAAGGCAAGGCAGTTGCATGTGGATCTCATAAAGAATATGCCTGGAATAAGTGCTGCTGTTAGTTAATTTAAGGCCTGCAGAGACTGGTTCAACAACTTCAAGAAGCGATTTGACATACACAGTGTGTTAAGGTATGGCGAGGCTGCAAGTTCGGACAAACAAGAGTTTTAAGTAAAGGTAAAACTGATTTAAATGTTCATTTATCCATTAAAATTAGTGCTTTATATTTACAGTGGAGCCTCAGTTAATGCCTTTGATCCATTCCACAGAGTTAGCCTTTAACCAATTTAGCCTTTAACCAATTTAGCCTTTAACCAAATTAATTTTCACTATAAGAAATAATGGAAATCCAATTAATCCGTTCCAGACACCCAAAAGTATTGAACAAAATAATTTTTTTTACAAGAAATATACATTTCCCTACACAGAAAACAATGATACATGCAGAATAAAACAATAATAACATCACACTTACCCTTATTGTGGACTTGTTGATGAGTGATGAGACAAGAGGGCAGAGGATGCAGGTGTCCTGTTGTTTGGAAGGGGAAACCCCTTCCTTAAAGACTTCAGGTAACAAGTCCTTTTCTGGGGTTACCTCCCTTCTTTGTTTTTTAATGCCACTAGGACCAGCTTGAGAGTCACTGGACCCCTGTCGTGTAAAATATCTGTCCAGAGATCTCTGTTTCTCGTGTCCCTTTAAGATTTCCCTAAAATGGGCCACAAGAATGTCATTGTACAAGTTGCCAATATGGCTTGCAACAGCTGTGTCAAGATAATATTCATCCATAAATGCTTGCAACTTTGTAAACATTGTACACATTTCCTTAATCTTTGACGAAGGCAACTTCCTCAGTCTCTCTTCCTCCTCCTCTGAAGGAAATCGCTGAGCTGTGGTCTGTTGCTGTTGCACCTGAAGCTCTTGCAGCTCTGTAGTGGTTAGTTCACCAACGCTTCCACATCCTCGCCACTAACCTCCAACCCCATGGACTTCCCCAATGCCACAATTTATTTATTTATTTATTTTATGTCTTTGCAAACATTACATTGAGATTTTGTATTTACAATAGTGGGTTGCAATGCAAAGAGAGCCTCTATTATGCCTAGGCATTATGGGCCAACTTAACATTATTGGCTTACAGTCTACTTAACACTAAGGAGTATATCATAGTTGTACAGTAGGATAGTAATTATTTCATAGTTGTAGAGTAGAATATTAATTATAAATGAATCAAAATTTGTATAATACAAAGATACATTTATATTCAAAAATGCTTTTTGTGAAAACAATAGATTCCAGAACTGGCATAGGCTCCTTAGGGTCAGCCCCAAACCCTTCAAAATCCCTCTCTTGTACATATTGTGGCCACAATTTTCTCTAAGCAGAGTTCAAAGTCCTGCAAGTCACTCCCTCCCAAGCCTTACCTATAAGGTTTATGCAGCTGAGGATACTGAAGTGATCTTTCCAGAACTCTGTTAAGGTCAATTCAGTGTCTGAGGTCACCTCAAAGCACTTTTGAATCTGCTTTGGTGTACAGTTTTTTGAAATTTGAATTTATCTGCTGGTCTATGGGTTGCAGGAGAGGAGTGGTATTAGGAGGCAAAAACTTCACTTAGATGAAGCTCAACTCCCCCGCAGTTTGCTCTTGCAAGTCGTGAGGATGAGCAGGAGCATTGCCCATTACCAGGAGGCACTTGAGTTCCAATTTATTTTCCAGGAGGTACCGTTTCACAGTGGGGCCAAATACGTCATAGAACCAGTCAGTAAACATGTCTATAGTGACCCATACCTTACTGTTTGCTCTCCACATCACACACAATTTAGTCTTGACGATATTGTTTTGCTTGAACACACTAGGAGTTTCAGAGTGATACACGAGTAAAGGCTTCATTTTGCAATCCCCACTAGCATTACTACACAGCATTAGAGTTAGCCTGTCTTTCATAGGCTTGTGTCCTATGAGTGCCTTTTCCTCCTGAGTAATGTAGGTCCTGTTTGGCATTTTCTTCCAAAACAGGCCTGTTTCGTGACAATTAAACACTTGTTGAAGTTTTAATTTTTCAGTGTCTATGTACTCCTTAACCCTTTGACTGTCGCGGTCGTATATGTACGTCATAGGAGATACCGTGTTTGACGTATCTATACGCATAAATTCTAGCGGCTTCAAATCAAGCAGGAGAAAGCTGGTAGGCCCACATGTGAGAGAATGGGTCTCCATGGTCAGTGTGCACCATATAAAAAAAATCGGGGAGCCAGTGGTGCATTGTGGGAATACCATTTCAGTCGTCCTTTTTCAGCATGTCTAGCGGTAAGAAATATGTGACTTCCCTGCAAATCTGGGACTCTTCTCTTCCCAAGTGATGCTCTAACACAGATGGAAGTGTCAATGAAGATCAATTTCATGATTTCGAGGAGTTTGAGACCAAAAGCAATGGAGGAGGTGGAGGAGGAGGAGGAGGAGGAGGAGGAGGAAGAGGAGGAGGAAGAAGAGGAGGAGGAAGAAGAGGAGGAGGAAGAAGAGGAGGAGGAAGAAGAGGAGGAGGAAGAAGAGGAGGAGGAAGGAAGGAGGAAGAGGAAGGAAGGAGGAAGAGGAAGGAAGGAGGAAGAGGAAGGAAGGAGGAAGAGGAAGGAAGGAGGAAGAGGAAGGAAGGAGGAAGAGGAAGGAAGGAGAAAGAGGAGGAAGGAGGGAGGAGGAAAGGGAAGGAGGGAGAGGAGAAGGAGGAAGGAGGGAGGAGGAAGAAGTAGGGAGGAGGAGAAGGAGGGAGGAGGAGGAAGGAGGGAGGGAGGAGGAGGAAGGTGGAAGGAGGAGGAGGAAGGTGGAAGGAGGAGGAGGAAGGTGGAAGGAGGAGGAGGAAGGTGGAAGAGGAGGAGGAAGGTGGAAGGAGGAGGAGGAAGGTGGAAGGAGGAGGAGGAAGGTGGAAGGAGGAAGGAGGAAGGAGGAGGGAGGAGGGGGAGGGAGGAGGGAGGAGGAGGGAGGAGGAGGAGGAGGAGGAGGAGGAGGGAGGAGGAGGAGGAGGAGGAGGAGGAGGAGGAGAGGAGGAGGAGGAGGAGGGGAAGGGAGAGAGGAGAGAGGGGGAAGAGGGAAGAGGAGGAGGAAGAGGAAGAGGAGGAAGGAAGAGGAGGAAGAGGAAGAGGAGGAAGAGGAAAGGAGAAGAGGAAGAGGAGGAAGAGGAAGAGGAGGAAGAGGAAGAGGAGGAAGAGGAAGAGGAGGAAGAGGAAGAGGAGGAAGAGGAAGAGGAGGAAGAGGAAGAGTAGGAAGAGGAAGAGGAGAGAGAGAAGAGGAGGAAGAGGAAGAGGAGGAGGAAGAGGAGGAGGAGGAAGAGGAGGAGGAGGAAGAGGAGGAAGAGGAAGAGGAGGAAGAGGAGAGGAGAAGAGGAAGAGAAGAGGAAGAGGAGTGAAGAGGAAGAGGAAGAGTAAGAAGAGGAGGAAGAGGAAGAGTAGGAAGAGGAAGAGTAGGAAGAGGAAGAGTAGGAAGAGGAAGAGTAGGAAGAGGAAGAGTAGGAAGAGGAAGAGGAGGAAGAGGAAGAGTAGGAAGAGGAAGAGGAGGAAGAGGAAGAGAGGAAGAGGAAAAAGGGAGAAGAAAGAAGAGGAGGAAGAAGAAGAGGAGGAAGAAGAAGAGGAGGAAGAAGAAGAGGAGGAAGAAGAAGAGGAGGAAGAAGAAGGGAGGAAGAAGAAGAG